CACAACCCATAGCCATACAGTTAGAGTAACATGAAAACCACTGTCATGCTGCCGCAGAGACATATTAATGCCACTGACAATGACACAAAGTCACCCAAAATGTCACAACTGCATTTCCCAAGTGATATAATCATTGCCATTTTGGACAATGCAGACGGCGTCAGACTTGCAGCTGCACACTCACCTGCTGCACAGCAACTCAAGCCTCCACGAACACATCTAGAACATGAGATCCCTCTTCTGCCTGCACTAGGTTCCACTGAAAGATTGAGTTCAAAATTGTGTTTCTTTCCTTCAAGACACTGGGTATCCTGGGACAGTATCTAAAAGAACAACTTTCCAGCACTAGGACTGTTGCAGATCTCCCTACCTCACAGTCCACTGAAGGAGGCATTTCTACCTGCCCAACGGGAGAAAAGAGTGAAGTACGAGCTGAATTCTGCCAGGACCCTGTCCCAAAGTCACAGTCCTCCTGCTTGGAGTGTGGGGAGAGCAAACCACCAGTATCAGCAGTCCCACTTCTCAGAACAGGATGCCGTGGTGGTAAAAGCCGGCAAACGACTGCAGCGCCCAAAGGCCAATCCACGCAGCCGCAGCGCGGGACTGCCCACGGTGCAGCTGTGCCGCCGGGCGGGTGCTCCTGCGGCTCGTCCGCAGGGCCCGGCTGTGCCCAGCGCGTGCCACGCGCCGCGGTGCCCAACCACGTCGGGACAGCCAGCGCGCTGCGGAAAACACCCACGGACCACAGGAAGGGGGTGACCCCTCCTGTTCCCTTCCCTGACACTGCCCTGCGTCACTCCCACGTCAATCATCCTAACCTTCCAGGTGACGGGTGAATAAGGAAAAGGAGGAACTTGGGCTTCCTCAGGTTCGCTCTGCTGAGGATTCCTTTCCTGCAAACAGCCTGGGTATTATTGCCACTTAAAGTAACAATCGCTCCGTCCCCTCCTCTCCCACAGACCTACTGCCAATATTAGCGCTGATCATACTAACAAGCCTGTGGGTTTTATTACTACTGATACTAATAATACTGGACACATTACGTCTGCTCCCGCCAATAACAGGCTGCAGATATGATCCCTGCTAATGCCAATAATACTGGGGAATATTATCTCTGCCATTGTCAGCACTGCAGATGATATTGCCAGTAATGCTGTCAAATACTACAGATATTGTCGGGAACCAAGATTAATAATGCCATGAGTTTTACAGCACTAGCTTCACTGGAACAAGAATCCCAAATGAGAATTTGGGTCTATAAAAGAAGTCAGTTTGTGGATGGCTATTGAGAGAAAAAGTTGTCTTTAATAAGGATGGTTTTGCAAAGATCGCAAAGGTTTTACCCAGCTGGAGATGCTATGGAATGTAGGAGACAGTTTGAAACATTTCTTTAGTCTTAAATATTTATCAATCCATTTATCTGGTTCATCCACCTATCCATTCATCTTTCCCTTTTTTCTTTCTATACAGCGCCCAAGACAACAGTACCTGCATACTCCTAATTCCTTGTTAGTGCCCCTGGGTCACCACATTCTCATGCTTTTAGCCATCAAACAGGCGTCTTCGCCTGATATCTTCCCCCTCATCCATCTGGACTTCTCACTGCTGCTGCGGTCTGCGAGCTGCCTTACTCGCCCTGAGCTGCCACCACAGGATAGCACAACGTTAGGGTTGCAGAGAGCCGGAATTCCCATTCCCACCTGCAGCTTGATATGGATGCTCGCAGTGACCTTAGGAAAATCCTCACACCCTGCAGTACCTCTGGAACCCTGGAAGCACCAGGGAAGGTGGGAAGGAGAGGACTAAGTGGTGGGGAAGGTCAAGAGGAGATTGCAGCAACACTGGCTACGCCCACAGATTGCAGGAAAAGGTACCTAGAGCTAGACAAGCGGTTACCTGGAGCTAGACAAGTGGTGAACTTTTTATGCCAAATTCAAAAAATATGATGGGTGTCTTGTTCTCTGCTGTTCAGTTCCAGTCTGTCACTGAAGCCAGAGGTTCGCAAACACCTGACAAAAGCCAAAACTGAAGGAATACGTGTTCTTAACAAGGCGAACCCTGCATCTCCTTCCTCAGGACGCCCGGCACTGGAGGGGACACTCTGAGCTGGCTTCTTCCATCAGCTCCTTCACCCTGCGGCTCCTGCGGCACCTAGACCCCCGTGCAGTGGTTGGGACCCCCCGTCTGCCCTCGAGCAGTGCCCAGTGAGGGACACACCTGGCTGTCAGCGCCGTCGCGAGCCACCTCCTGCATCCGCCTGGCTCCTTCTGTCCAACTCGGGAGTTCTGCTACATCATCTTGACACATAATTATCTCCCTTCTTCTTAATCGTCTGTGCTACTGTCTAATGTAGGCACCAGCTGCAGCAAGGAGGACCTGGGGGAGGGGGTGTGCTCGGAGAGAGGCTCCTCTCTCTTTCTCCCAGCCTGTTCCCCCATCACACAGGGTGCTGGAAAGATTTTCATGAGCAGGGGTTCAGAGCAGCTTCCTCCCTCTGCTGAACGGCATCCTCAGAGCATCAGCCTTGCAGCAGAGCAGGTCCCACGGAGCAGACAGCAGAGAGCAGTGCTCCTTCCTCTGCTCTGCTGAAGGAAGAGCCACCCACAAAATGCCAGGAAAGCACATTTGGGAGCCCGTAAGGAAGAGCTTTCCAATACAAGCTACAGAGCTGCAGCAAACAGTGCTCAGCAGGTTTGGGAAGTACTGAGGCATTTTTTACATTGAGTGTGAACGTGACAGAAATACCTACACTGGATTTCTTACCTTAAGCTGCTTATTCCCCCCACCTCACCTAGGAGCAGTTGGTACCCTCAGAGCTACAGGGAGATTGCCCAGCAAAAAGTGCAGGTCACGGACTGTGCAAATCCTCCCCTTGGAGCCTTTTGGCTTTGGGCTCAACCCTGCAAAATGATGATGTCTTTCAACATCTCTTAAAGTGAGCAGAGCCATGGATAACTCGGCTCTTGGATGGGGAGTTTCAGCAGCTGGCAGGAGGTCCCTCGTGAGCCTTCTCTGGGACAGGAGTGGGACATCCCCTTGGGGCAGGTATCTGGGATGACAGAATGAAGGCTGTTCTCTAAGGCAATCAAAGCCATTGCAGCTGCAGCGTGCAACTGCCACCTGAAAGTCTGCGAGCCAGAGGCAGGCAGCACCTTCAGAACTGTCTGGTATCTCTCTGATTTCTAGTGGGGTATGTGGCCTCCTGGCCATCAACAGGGACTTGCAGAAATTCTTTTCCTTCATAAATCAAAACTGAGATGAATCAAGACAGGAGGCAGGAGTTGTTCTTAATGTCATTGTGAAGCGTCACAGACTTAGAGGCCTGTTTGATTGTTTCTGTTTATTTGTGCTGCTACAAAGAGCTCAGATTCTGGGACTAGAAATGACTGAGCGGCTGCATCTAAACTGGACTCATCTTTCCTGGTATTTGGAAAGAATCGCCACTAAAGCCGACCTGAGCTACTTCATTTGCAAATGAGATACCAAGGCACCATGTTGAGAACTGGTGATCACCAAGCTGGACTGCATGCAAACTGGTTCACAGAAATGCCAAATACTGCCAAGAGATTTGCACAACTATTAGATAAACTTGTCATTTTGATTGAAATGTCACTATCTCCTGTATACATAATGATGAGGAGTACTGGAGGGGTTTGCAGCGTTTGCAGACTCTTACTCATGACATTCTCTGACTTTGAGGCATTGACTCAGCCCTTCCATTGCGATACTTTTCTCTTGCTTGGGCCCTGCTGCCATCTAGCTGGGAAATGGATCTTCCTCTGGGGCCTGATCCAATTTCCCATGGCTTCAGCAAAAATCTTTCCATTCACTTTAACAGGAACTGAGTTGGGTCCTTGTTTACAGTGTCCAGTTTTACTTTATTAGGCCACAACAGTTGCCTTTTTCCTGAGATTACTGGGTTTATTTGGATCCCAATCTTGCAGATGTGAAACTCGTGAGAAAAAAACACGGAGAGAATGACTGGCATAATCCCAAAGAAGGACAGCATCTCTACTAGGGGCTTTCTGTTCCCATCAAGTATCATGGAGAACCCCAGTGTTAGGCCACAGCCTCAGGATTACAGTGAGTCACCTTTACTGCTCGAGGTCCCCCATGCAACAGGCAGCAGTGGAAAGCAACATAATAAAGGCAAGACAGAAACAAACAACCTGCTCAGGTACCACTCTTGGGAAAATTGACCTCCTGGTCCTCAGTTTTTGAATGTATCCAAATAAAAGAGCAAGATTTAAGACAAAAGATTTACAAAGTCACCATAAGAGCACCAAGACTTTAGCCACTTCTCCTGACCTTGTCCATCTGGTCCAGCTTGTGGCTCATTTCAAGATTCACTGTGCCCTGCCTCCTTCCCAGGTAGGAAAGAGAAGGAGATACCTTAAGCCTAGTTTCTCAGGGCACTCAGGAAAGGCCCAATAACACTCTAGGGCCACAGAGCTCAAAGACCTCTTGTTCTGCTTTCACACTGCTTGCAGTATGGCAGTTCTGCAGCAATAGACACTACCCAACAAATCTAGGCTCTTCTGATCATATCAACTAATGTAGCTCATGGCATATCATAAGGCAGGAGCTTGTTTGCAAGGGGAGTGAAGGATCCTCCCACATTGCTGGTGCTTCTCCACGGTGGCATTTTGTTAGAAAGTGAGTCAGGGAAACCTTGTTTGCCTGTGGTTCAGAACCCGGGCCCCTGCCGGCACCCGGGGAGTTCGGTTCCAGCCGTTTCCAGCAGCGAGCGAAGCTGGGATCGGCTCCAGCCGCGGAGACGGCCCTGTGCCTGCTGAGCAGATGTCTGCAGAGCGTGGCCTGTCGCGCAGAGGCCTCGCGAGAAGAGCGCTCCAAGCCAGCAGGGCAGTGGCGGGGAACGCGTCTCTGGTGCTAAAACTGATCTAGTCCCTGGAGCAGCTGCAAACCTTGGCCTGAAATTGGAGCCTGTACATGGGGACAAAGAATATAAAAGGGAGGATAAACTTCTCCCCTCCCCCTACCTTCATCACGTTTCCTCTTCTCGCCATTCGACCGAGGAATCCCCAGGATCCCGTTAATGGAGTAAGAGCCCACTGGATCATTGGAGGCACTGGAGACGGGAGGGGATGCTGTGCTGGGCACTGGACAAAACGAGAAGGGAGAAAGGGCCATGAGGAGAGCAGCACAGCACTCAGGGAGCCCCAGCTGAAAGCTGTACTTGCCACCAGGCTCTCAGAACGCCTGGGCACTAACAAAATCCCAGTCCCTCACAGCCAAGGACTCACCCTAATGCTCCTGTACCACTAAATTCCAGCTTTGCCAGTCTGATCCTAAGCTGTAGCACCACAGCCTTCCAGTTGAGGCCAATAGCAACAGCAAGTTTATTCCATCAAGAACTTCAGCCTTGTCCTGATGCTGCAGTTCAGAGCAGCCTTCCCAGCGCATGCCAGCAGAGTTGAGTGCCACATCTGCATGGGCCATATTCACTAGTGACTTTCTAAGCTAGCTGTATTTTGACAGCGTAATACAGATCCTTTCCTCCCAGCACTTATCCGCCAGGAATGCACATATTCTGTCTTAGCCAGATGAGCCTCTTACATGTCCACCCAGTACACTCAGTGAAAATTCTCCTCCTCTTAGCGTAGATTGGAAGCACTTCAGTGCCAATAAATTCAGTTCCCTATTAGGACAAATCATGAGCTGATGATACGTTCTCCAGCCCAGACAATCTCATGTCTCCTTTTGCACTGAACAGTGTAGACAAGCAGACTCCTCCTGCCACTCAGGGCTGGCCAGGTTTTCCTTGTGAGTTCCAGTGTATCAGAAGTGACAACTCATCCAGATTAGAAATAACCACTTCATGATAACCAGGGCTTAGAGTACAGACCAGGAGGAATTATGCATCCAGTCGGCAGGCCTATCACATCCCAGCGTGCCCCAGTAAACAGGAGCATAGCCCAGTTCTCTCATAGAGTATCCATACCCATCATCCAAGCCATAAAAAAGCTGAACTAAAGCAATTGATACCTTCAGTTCAAGCTTTCCAGGATGGAGCAGAACCTGCCAACAGCGTCCAGTGTTGACCCACTTCCCGGTCCACCCCAGAACGCAGGAGGCTCCAGTAGCAGCACTCCCAGCCGCTATCTCAGCTCAGCCAGCACATTCCCTAGACACTGCAGCTCTTCTCCAAGAAGGAATAATATCTGCCAGCTCCATCTGGTGCGGTCAGTGCTTCCCTTTCCCGTGAGCAAGTCCAGTAAAAAAGGGCATCCAGAAATGCTGTTCCATAACAGGCCATTCCATTATGGGCTGAATTCCATTTTGTCCCTGAGCACAGTTCACCTACAGGATTGTACCTGGCAGCAATGTCCATGTAACCAGCCCTTTCCAGTCAGTCTCTGTACTGCAGTTGTTTGTCAGTAACCACCAGTCTCCAAGACAGTGTCTTAGGCCACAGCTGGCCCCGTGTCTCACAGTATCCCAGAACACAGCGTGTTTCTTTCTGCCCTGAATTGTTATGGGGTTACAACATGTTAGCAACAACGGGCTTGTACCCCATGCAGACCAGAGACATCAGTGCAAGATAGCACGCATCCAGCACGGTGCCTTTAAACACAACAGACTAGCAGACGTTTAGACGTTTTGAAGGTTTATTGCAGTCTCTGTCTTCTGCTCATCTCAATAAAGCCATCTCCCGTAGCAGCAAATATATTTTCTCAGTGAAAAACACCCTTGGGATACCTGCCTGCAGGGCTAGAACAAGGAGGAACTCCGTTGCAAGGCATCAGGAATATCTCACTCTAATCTGTGTACTAAAGAAATGGGCCAGTTCCAGCAAAGGGGAAGAAGAGAAATGGAAAGAGAAGGGAAAGGCAGGCTGGAATAAGGAGACAAAAAGTAAAGCTGGAACTTAGATGGGACAGTGGTAGGTGCTTCTCTCTAGGGAGTAAAAGGAGTGAAAGTAAAATGGATGTAGAGACTGAAATACTTGGAGCAAGCTTATACCTTGCTTATACCTTGAGCCAGTTTTTCTGCCCTCATACCCCTCTCTGCAACGTAGTTAAGGCAATGGAGAGCAGAAACTTTGGTTTCTGATGAGCTTTCTTTCCCTCCACCGCTTCTCCCTTTTGCTCTGCCCGAGCACCTGCTGGCTGGACCCTCAGCGAAGCCTCCTCCCCCTTCGCCCTCGTCCCGCCGCCCCGCGTGCCCGGCCTCTTACCGATGGTGTGTCCTGGTGCAGTCACGCCTGTCCCGCTCCCGTCCGGCGTTGGGTGGAAGGGTTGCTGAACTTTGGTTCTGATAATCCTGGAAAAGAGCAAAACGGGTTCAGAACTCAGCTCCTCACGCTGTGGTTCGTACAGCAGCAGTCGCTGTTCCCCAGCCTGAAAACCCAAGCTGGCCTTTGGGTGCAGCCTTGGTGGAGAAGCATGACTTTTGACTCCCTGTGGTCTTGATTCTCCTACTTTAATGGTCTTAGGACTTTAGCGTCAGTTCCAAAAGGATTGTCCTTGCTGACTCCATCCTCCCCAAATCTGGATATTCACTGCGTAGCTGCAGTGCTCAATGAGCTTGGACCAGTCTCTCCTGTGTGTTAGCAACTGCGTTATTGTTTATGATCTGATGGCAGCATGCCCATTTGCAGCTTGGTCATCAGGCAGTCTTTGCAGCTCGTAGAGCTACTGCTGGATTTGCAAATAGCGCAGATTTCATTTTGTTGTGTGCCTAGAAAATACTTCTCTGGCTTTGAACTGACTAGAACTTACAGAAGGCTCTACAGAAGCCCTTATCCTTCCTAAAGAAGTAGCTGGGAACAGAAAGCATCAGTCAGTGGGAAGAGGTGATCGGATACACATCACCAGGAAAAAAAGGAGCTGTAGCTTTGGGCTTTATCGGATGGCAAATGAGTGCAGCATGGGAACCCCAAAAAGGTGCCTCAGTAAATGCCACTGAGCTCATAATGCGGCTCAGATTGAAAACAAGCTGAGCTGTAATTATCAGTGCTCCAGTTCTTGTTACAAGGCATCTTTCACTGCTAGGTCACTGGTTGCAGTGCAGCTGAGGTCAACAGTGAAAGAAAATCACTAGCACCTAATAGTGGGCTGGTGGGGCCCTGTCTACTGGCAGTTGGTGGGTATTTGTGGCTTAGGAAACACTCTCTCATCAAGGAATTTAGCAAATCAGCCATGAAGTGTGGAGGCCATGGAGACAAAATTCCTGTCTGGAATTAAAAGGAGTCTCTCCGCTTGGGGTGAGGGTGTGCGTGCTCTCTGGGCTCTGTTTCTGGATCTGTCCACTCTGCACTAGGAGAGCTTTAAACTCTCCCCAAATATCCCTCCAAAGTGAAAGTAGCTAACTCGGGCCTTCTCCCTGCCACCCCAGGGCTTCTGCTGGGAGGCTCTACTCCCAGAAAAACACATTCTGAAGAATAAATGGGCAAAACTTCCAAGAGCAAGTGTTTGTCTAGTGGGTCATATGGCATGGATAAAACAGCCTTTGAGGTGGGCAGAGACTTTGAGAGGACTTTTCTGAAAAAGCATCACTTGTGAGAGTGAGAGGTTCTGAGGGAAACGGAGCCTATTTCAAAGCTTATCACTTCAGCATGCAGGCAAATTCAGTTATTTACACGATGAAATCTGGGCAGTAATTGGAGTGGTAGAGAACATGCCTGGCACATAGCTGGAGACAGGTGATGTGAAGGTTCCTGGCTGGGGATGGAGATCCAGATCCCCATCACACACAGCTCGGGGGTACTGGGAGCCCTTATTTATAGCTGCTGAGCCCCGAGGCATAAGGGCTCAGAGGCCCTAGGGGCCAAGGGGCCAGATTCTGAGGTCATGCTGATGGTCACTAGCTGAGGAGCTGATCTAAGAAGTCTAGGCCAGGGCAAATAATGTAACTTTCTTCTTCTTCTTCTTCTTTTTTTTTTATTATTTTCCTCTCGCATTCTCCCTAAAGCCCCCTGAAGTGCCACTCTGGTTGTGTGAGTTTATTGATTCCCCCCAGCCCAGAGAAACAGAAAGAGGGGATGGGGTGCAGGCAAAGGGATGGAAATAGAAAGCTATAAATTATTTGTGACAGGAAAGCAATAGTGCCAGAGTGCTGAGCACAAGTCCCGTGTCACTATTAGATTCCTTTTAGCCTGATGACACTGTAAAAGAGGTTAAGTGTCTGATGGAATCGTACACCTTGGGGGCAGGGGCAGTCCAGGAGCAGAACAAGCCACAGAGAGCAGGTATATCAATTCTCCAGGCCAATAATATTCCCCTCATTGATCGCAACACAAAGTTCAAAAATCTCATTATAGCCAGGCAGACCTGGAACTTTTTAAAAATCAATAGAGTGATATAATGTATGTATACTTTGTATAAATGTATCTATCCATCCATCCATCCATCCATCCAAAATGTGCCTGTGGCGGTCTGAGGTAACCTACACATTATGCGATGTTATGTTCTATTGTTCTGTAGCGTGGGGAATGGCTTAGAAGATTCCCCTGCAGCCTCAGATGACATATTATAAAATGTCCTATTAGCTTGAGATGACATCAGACAGCTCCAGCCATACTGAGAGGTGACATCAGAAGGTTCGGCCTCTACTCGGGGCATCCATAGGATGATCCTCGTTCCTGTGAGATGTGTGGAGTCATGCTGCATGAAAACTACCACGTTTGGCAAAGCTATTTAGAGTGAAAGCAGCCTGTGAGGTAATGTTGGTGTAAAACTGCCGCCCTTAATGCTTCAGAAACTGAGGCAGGGGATGAAGAGGAAGGTTCACTCTCCTTCCCGTTGAGTTGGCGGTCACTCGGCTGACAGTGCTGGTTAGTGCCAGCTGTGACTGTGTCTGCTGAGACGTGTCCGTTAGGAGCTGGAAGACCACCAGCCCGTTTCACCAAGTAGCCATCAGCTGGTAATGATTTTTGGTCACCACCAACCAGGGCCAGATTTCAGCTAGTGACCCAGAGGTGAAAGGCTCTGCTGAAAAACTTTCCCCTCTTCAGAAGGAAACTAGTTTTGTGTCACAAGAAAGTGTCTGGAAACAGTGAGGAGAAAGGGGAGCGTTTCTATTTGTGCAACCACTAATGACTTGGATCAAATATTTCTTGGCGTTGAATGACTGAATCTAACGAAGTCCCAGCACTGAAGGTATTTCCTATGGTTAATAGAAGAGGCTTTCCCCAGCAGAGCTCCTTGCCTTACGGTCACGGCTGGACTCAGTGTAAGGAAAGGAGAGAGCTCTCAGGACGCTAACCCGAGTACAGAGCACGGCCATGCACCGCCCCGCGCCAGTTCATTTAGGGATGGTGGTAAACAGCAGTGCTGCTAGGAGCTGATGCTCTCGCTTGAAGGGGCTTTAAAGAGTCTGTTGTACACAGGACCACCTGACGAGATGGCAGGTGAAAGATGAGCAAAGCTGACCTGATCCTGCAGCAGCACATGCAGTATCATGAAACTTGGGGGTTGCTGAAAGCTTCTGGTCCTTCCCAGAGGCCAAAACAGGCACTAAGGCAGCTCAGCCGCACCAGCCTGGCGTTTCTGGGTTACTGCTCTCTAAGAGGGAACAAAACCTGGATCACCTCTTGCTGCTCTTGATGGCCTGTTCCTACCTCTGGGGACTGCAGAGAGACCTGCCTTTTGCAGACCGCTTGCTCAACTCTTCCTAACAGAGGAGAGAGCACAAATCTTGGCATGCCACTCAACAGTGCTGATTTCTTGAAGTAAATGCAGATTTTTCAAATGTCTTGCTTTTCTCAAAAAGAAATTAGCACTTTGGACTAAAATCATCCCTGCTCTAATTCCATCACAGTCAGTGATTCCAATAACAGCATTTGTGTTTAATTAGGAGCATAAACTCATGCTTACTGTAAATTCCCCTTTTTCATTTTCCAGTGGGAGATTTTTGAATAAGTTGTCTACTTTGAGTTTCAAATAGGCACAGATTAAAGCTTCTGAAGCTTCAGCAGCGGGGCATTTAGAGATCTTTGGTTGCAGTAAAGCAACTGAACTTCATTTTGCAATCTGAATTTAATATATGATATTATGTTAAGAAATGGCATGTTATATCATTACAGGACATATCATCACATCATGAATTATACATCCACTCCTGAGATTCATGGGTTACCACAGCTGATTTGCTACACAACTTCCTACAGTTAATACCTCATCCAGCTTCAACTGAAACCAGCTGCCTGTTTTCAGACACTTCTTACTTTCCTAAGTGTTCAGCATTAGGTCAGGAATTTTTAGTGACTGATTTCTGTTTTGTTATTTCTGTTTAAATGCAATTCCTTTTGCTGATCCTGAATACAGATGAATAGATAAAAATCATCTATCCTCATGAGAATTATAGCCATCTCTAATCAAGTTTTAAAGATAAAACTAGCCAGGATATAGTCCTTATTGAGAAGCAAAACTTTTCTTTATTTATTTGTAAAAAAGCAAGTGAAAAATCACTTTTAAATCTGCCTAGGAATTATTTGCTGCAAGAATGACAGACTAAAAGAAATGTTGCCCTACTTCTTGACACTACTTTTAGACCCGCTTCTAGTTTGAGGCACTTTGTGGTTTCACCTCTCCTGCTATTGCTGGAAGAATCTATAGACACTATCTCAAAGAAAAAAAAAATCTTAGCCAAATGGATGCAGTGTAGAAATAAGGCATCAGATGACAGCAGTTTGGAGGGCACTTGCCTTGTCTTCCTTGCCCACTGCAGAGTTCTTTACTGAGGCTAATGAGATGGGGAAGCAGTAGGTCTGAACCGTCTGGGGCTCCAGGTTTAGCAGTTCCTTTAATCCTGGAAGAACTGAGTGAAGTTGCATCAAGAAAAGAAATGGTGTGTCCTGCTGTCCCAGGGAAAGACCTTGACAGACTTCAAAAAGCACCCGTATCTTCACTTGGATCATATTCTTCTGCATTGGATTATTTTCAGAGCAGAGGAATACACAGCGCAGAGCACCAAAGTCCTTTTAATTCTTTTGGAGTATTCCTGTTTTAGACGCCCCATATTAGAAGCGCATTAGGAGACCCCGGGGTGTGCATTAGTGGTCAATTAAAGCGCTGCTTGGACGGCTGTCGGCGCTGAGCCCTGCTGCGCAGCCAGGGGAGGCCGCGGTGGCCGGGAGCGCGCGCCGCGCCGAGCAGCGAGGCCAGCCCGGAGAGGCGCTGGGGCTGGCCTAAATGGCACGGCAATTCCCTCCCGCACCCGTTCCTGCAAAGAGCCTGGTCACCAGCCCGGTGTTGCTGGCATCAAAGTGCATCTGCAGAAGAGGGAGAGCAGGCTTTAGGCTCCTTGCTGACAGCAGCCAA